GGCACTAGATTGTTGTTATTGCGTAGACGGATTTTTCTTTATTCAAACTAGCTTTTACGTTGACTAAAATTGTGCCGATGATGCTGTAAAACATCTACTCAATCAATCATCATAACTCTCCCCTCATCACTTAAATGACCACTATTGTGTTAATCTGGGTGGCTAGCTGGTGTTCTGGTGTGGTTTGCTCCTTATTACCTGTCAAAATGTGTCGTCTTTATCTCCCCTCATGTGTGTTAGTCTCTTGTAACATCAACACTTATATGACCTATTATTATTATATTGCAAGTGCCTCGTCAAACTTTTACCAAAACAAAACATAAAACAGTGATGAGTTTCCCTTTACCCCCCACCCCGTAAATCCCCCCAAATACAGGTCATCGTTATCGAGACCCACGACGGTCAGTTGGAACTGGAGTCGTACATGATGCCAAACGCTACCCCGGAGGAGGGCGCCGAGGTGAAGCTGGAGGATTTCCTCACCCCACTCTGCCAGATCGAGCACCATTCCGGCCTCATCTTCTTCCCAGAGAAGAAATGCTTCAGCAGCAATAACAGGAGGAGGGGCGCCAGGCTGCACGCTCTCTAAGATGTATGACGTCACACAATGATCTACAGCCCTCTTTTTTTCAACACCTTCGACCAGTCCGCCATTGCTACCTTCGTCCATATAAAACAACAGGATTGAAGACGGTTGATTTTCATACAATTCGGGATTCTTCAGGGATATTTTGTCCTTCCCTCAAAATTAGGACATGGTCGAGAATCTCACATTTTGCGCAAACAGCGATACTGGATTCAAGATGATATGGTGCAAACACAGTAAAAACATAATATTTCAAGAGTTGCTTCGCCTGTTTGTGACACTCAAATTTATATTATTCTGACATTACCACAACACACCAATATTAAAACATATGCAATGAGATGGTTCAAACAAAACTAACCTTCTGTTTTTCACAACGACATCTACAGATAACATTTTTCAACAACTTTTCAACCTTGACATTTACAACGGTGTACAGTGGAAGACTGAAGTAACACATTATGTCAATTGATAATTCAACAAAGAGCTTCATCAGTGGAATCAGGGAAAATAGAAGCACACACACTGAAAAATGTCTGCTACTAGTTACTTGAACATGTGCGCACAGTCAACCATCAGCTTCAACACAGGCTGCAGCAAACTGAAGAGAGGTTTATGAGCCATTCCCATCGTTTTGGGCCAGAATGTCTTTCTTATCGTAATACACCGAGAACATCACGACTTCAAGAATAAAATCTACACCAGAGCACTCAGCTTTCCTTTGCTTTTTTAAAATCAAGTTGTCTTTATTTTTGTTGTTCCTTTTGAATGAAAATTTTAATATCGCTCCCTTTTTATTTTAAGTCCTTTCGTGGGTGATTAGTTGGCGTCCAGGTACCCCCATCCCCTCCCCTTTCCTAATTTCTTAATTTCTTATCAGTGATTCTATCGTCCGATTCTGTTATTGGCGAAATGTGACCACCTTGCGCTGTCTTGTCGTAAACTACCACAAATTAACCCATTCGTTTCTCTTTTGAATCTGAATCAAAGAAAGCTAGAATTTTACCGTTAAATGTGTTGAGTTCTTTTCATATGATCAAAATGAGCTTTATTCTACGACACCATGGCGACATGCCTGGTTTTCAACTTTATTCCATTCGAACCCGTTCCAAGACCCCCTCCCCGTAGTAGTAGTAGTAGTAGTAGTAGTAGTAGTAGTAGTAGTAGTAGTAGTAGT